AGGGACCTGGGACTGTTTTAAAGAGCACGTGGGAAATTTTTATGACTAACATACTACTTATATTTAAATGCAAATAAATATCTTTATGAATATGTAAAACACGTAAGAATGTAGTTAGGCACAGCCTTTATACCCTTGTTTAAATGGCTGACTTGTTTCACAACCTCCACCCTCCTTTTTAGGATGGATAAAACAAATTTTCACTCCAACTCTATCTCAATGAACTCAGTTAGTAGTAATCTGCCATATTCACTTTGAATTAGCGATAATTTACCACATTCACTTTGCAGCTTTAAGGAAAGGTAAATGGATATTGAATGATACCGCCAAATGAGATCTTAGGCATGACTAGGTATGAAACGTGTGGAACGGTTATTTCCCAGTCTCCTTAGAAACCAGAGGGGTGATCCGGGTTTCCGGAGGTAGGTAGTGCCTGACATCCGATAATGGCCTGCATTTGCACAGCGCTTTATCCCATCAGCGTGCAGACACTGGGAGGCTCGCTGTACCCCTGGGAGAAGCCGCCGCTCAGCCACCTGTCATTTTCAATTGCAGGTCTCCCTTCTGTTGGAAGGCTCGCTCTCGGAGCACCGATTAGCATCAGTTCTGCAGGTGGCCTGAGCGTTTCTAGGAAACCAGCGACTCAGACCTTTCAAGTTCAAGATCGTGATGTTCCCAGAATCAATACCAGTCTCCGAGGGCCACGTGTTAAGGTCAGTAAAGAAAAGGTGACTCAAGTCTTGAATGGCAGGATTACAAACTAGATACTCAGATCTTGCTTCATTCCAGGCACTTAGGCTCTGGATCCCCCATAGATTTACCACGGGGCCAGACCTGAAGGCCAGACTCTAGATGGACGCTGATGACACAGGAGGCGTGATGCAAAGTGGGCTGTGCCCCTTTGCACACTGCAGCTGCTTGTCACCGGTCCAGTGTTGGAAGCAAGAACTGCAGCTGGAAACCCACGGTGCTCACAAGCTCTTTGGTGAAACAGAAATTGCTGCTGGGGTTTGTGTCACACTCCAGGGCAATGCTAGATAAATAATTTCCATTTATGATGAAGAGGCAGAAGCCTCTAGAACAAAAGAAGTCGGCTATTACATGTTTACATTTTCATTCCCTGGTGCAATATGCCTTTCCGGTAGTTGCGAGATCCCGCATTAAAACCTCGGCTACTGGTCGGCTACTCGTGTTTTCAGTGCGTCTCCCTCCTGGGGAGCACCTTCCACCCTGTTTGGCTGAGGGATAACACCGGCTTTGGCGGAGCAGGTGTGAGGAGGAGACCAGAAGCCGTGCTCGTCTCAGAGAGGAAGAACTGTTTTACCACAACCCCTCACCACACCCCTGAGAGGACAGAGAGAATGCTTCTCACACAGCAATGGTCTCAGAAGCCCCATCAATCATTTGTTTAGGTTTCTTTCAACCGATTACACTGGGATCTGTTTGAGAACAAAATTTTAGGGGTTTTACTTAGTGCGGTATTTTTTATCACAATAAAAGAACCAGCTATCTCCATCGATGTTAAGCAGTTCTCATATAAGCAACTTCGAGAAGTAAAACCGTGCTTAGAATGGTTGGCTTTCAGAAGAATTGATTCCACACAGACACTGTTATGTGATAGTCTATCAGTCCCTCAGAAACCTGGCTCTTCCTTGAATCACAAACATTTCTAAAATGTGACAATGCTGCTGCTACTTTCAACAGGCTCCTTATTTAAAAGAATGGCCTATAATTTCCAGAAAAGCAAGTTTGTTGACTAATCTTGAAAACTGGAATTTCTGAGGTTTTTCATGTTATGCCAAAAGAGGTAAGCATAACTCCAAAAAGGTATACTACCCAGAGGGTGTTAGTAGAATTTCCTGGAGGGGGAGGAGGAGAAGGCCCCCACCCACCATCCAAGAATGCATCCGTTAATTTAACGTCTCCGCCGGCTTAAACATCAGCAGAGCAGATGGCACCCCTGGGTGGCCTGATGGGGTGGAAACATTTCTCACTTCGACCCTCGTGGCTCAGGGGAGCACCCGCATTGGCCAAGAGAAGAGAAGGGCCAGTATCTGCCTCCAAGGACAGAGGGGGACTTTCCTTGCCTTGTCCTGATAGATTGTCTACGTTCAACCGATGCATTACATATTCCCCAACACGCTGCCCTAGGAGCGGCCACCCCTGTCCTGGCTCCAGAAGCGGGATGAGACTCAGAGAGGAGAGGTGAAGAACCTATGCTTCTCTGCCTCTCTGATCGCTTAACAACCACGGGCTGTTAGTTTGGTTTGAGAGCCAGTGGTTTTGTTTGCCTTTGTTCTAGCTCATAGGTCTACCCTCACAGCCTGGACTAGAACACGGCACGTGGCGGCGGCTCAGTCAGTGCTCATCGACGGGATGTATTTTCAACCTAAAACCTCGATGTGTGCAAGGTCGATCTGAGGCCTACTTGGAGGAGGCCTCCCGGCCCGCCTTCAAAGCTGCTTGCTCTCAGGGTATGCAGTGTGCCCCCCACCTGCCATCCAACCACAGAGTCACACATCGTCCTCCGAAGTGCCATCTGGGTCTGGGAAGAAATCCTGTTAAGGTCAGAATGTCTGTGGGAACCAGCCCCACAGACTCGCTGGAATTCCGCCTCAGTCTACAATTCAACTGAGCAGCTGTTAGAGCTCTCATCTGCATCACAAACGGAATCCAGGCAGGGTGTGAACCAGAGGCTGAGTCAGGGTCCCCTCCATCCTTGCCTAGGTTGCCCTGGGGGGGAGTTAGAACCCAGATTCAACGCTGATGCCTGAGGCTTGTTCTGACCAAACCTGGTTCTCAGAATTTTTACACACATTGTTCCTGTTTCATAAAAAGCTGTTAATTGCATCCTCTTCCCTTTGTTCTTTTGTTTATTTCTTTGATCGTTTACTTCCTATCTGGTGTCGAAGCCCAAAAGGTAAGGTTTTTCCAAGGGTTGCTTTGCAAACTTTTTATTGTGTTTTATATTTTAACTCAAGTGTTTACTTTTTAAATTGCAGTGGGGCGATGTTTAAATTGGGTGGGTTAAATAAACAGAAAATAGATCCAGAAAAGCATTAACAAATGATCTTTAATGACCTTTCTGTGTTCCTCCCACCAGGCCGTAAGGTTGTTAGATCTCGCGTACAGAAGGCGAGAGGGCCTCGATGGGATCATTGCTTTTGGGCCCAGACCAAATCTGCTAGCGGGGAGGCGACTGAATGGGACCAACTACACCGTGAGGCACGGGTTATCTCCAATCTGATAGCTGTGCCCTGTGCCCCAATTAGACAGGAAGCCAAGTGCAACAGGGGAAGACGAAGCTGATAGCTGCAACCTCATCCCTGTTCAGAGTCACATGCTACCTCTACGGCCCCAGTGAAGCAGAGGCATGAGTCATCCCCAGAATCAAAGACACAAATCTATCTGGAGCAGTAAGCTTCAAATCTACCATGTTCAGGAAACCGGGGACCTCTCTTTAGCCACAATCTGTAAGGTGCAAGCTGCAGAAAACATGGATACTTCTTCTACACATTTCTTCATCATTTCTTCTGCATTTCTCCATCATGTCTATGTATTTCCTCATAACACTTGGCATCTCTGGCCTGCCAACCTCTATAGAAGCCTAGAAAATAAATCCAGTGGAAAAGCAGACCTGTGCAATTAATTTCCAAAAGAGCTCGCTCCTCTGGGGAGGCCCCTGTCCTCAAGAATAAGTCCTCCGTCCAGCCTGTGAGCATGACGAGAGTTCAGCTTCTCAACAACCAACAAAGCAAGGCGTCCTCTTTAATGACTGTGCTGGTTCACATCTGAAAACATCTCTTTTCACGGTTTTTAGATCAGTGTCTATCCTGATCTCAACTTCCAAGTCTGAGAAATGAAAAGTAAACAAGCAAACCAATACAAAACATGGCAACTACGTGCAGCTGCTCAATCCAGAGTCACTTAAATATGGAAGATCTTAAAGGATACCATTGTTGCAGCCCATGTTCCCCAACCAGGGCATGAGTGCAGCCAGGGACAGAGGTGCTAAGAAGGGGGGCTGTCCCTGAGGAGCAGGGCAGCGTGGTCATTGCATCCAGCACCACAGCCAGAGGGCCAGCCAGTCACTGTGGGTTTTTCTCTCTGGCCCGGATGCAGAGCACCAGCATTAATACTGTGGTTTCAGCCTCTATTTTCCAGTAGCTCAGGCTGCCTTGGCTCACAAGACTTTCCTAGGGAGATTCTCACCCATTAACAACATGAACCCAAGGCTTGGAGCTGCGGGGAGAATGCTTGGAGCCATGAAGTGTCAGGACAGACAGTCTGCTTCGGAGAGTGCCCGTGATGCTCGTCTATGCCACACTGACCTCTCTGTGCTGGTGGGAACTTCACCACCGCTGGCTGACTGCAGGGAGCGGAGCGAGGAGCATTCCTCCAGCTGTGGGCCTGGGGATGTCGTCTGCCCACTCCCAGGACAAGACGCCCCACCTAGAGTCAGAGAGCGCAGCCCAGCCTCAGACTCCAGCCACAGAAACACTTTGAACTGTTGTGCTCTGCTGCTCAAGGAAACGGCCTTCCGTCTCGCACCAGCCTTTAAAATGACCCTCAAATGTCACTGAAACCTGTTCACCAAACCAAGGCTTCCCTAAACTGTGGGCAGAGAAACTCAAGATCTAGTGATGGGTGTTGAGACCGATGCGTGGTCTCCTTCTGGTCCCCCAACTGGGACGGAAGCACTTAAACATTTACAGTCACGAAGACAGAGGAACTCTCCCACCTGGAAACAAACCTTCTAAAAGGAAGCGGAGAAAGACTGTGGGCACGTGGGCGGGAATTATAGTTAAAATATTCCAAATCTTATCACTGGCCAAGGAAGACACCTCGTGTTTATTAGACGCCAGCCATCTAATCATTCGACGATTAGACATCGTCAGCCTGGCGCGGGGAGCTTTACAGACCTTATTTCAGCTCATTTCTGTCTTAGATCTAAGGAAACAGGCTCAGAGAAGCCGGAGCACGTGAACTACTCAGTGTCTTTATTTCTGCCCTAGACAGTGCTGTGGTCATGGAAGAAACGCTGGGATGCCCGTGAACTCAAATATGATCCTGTTTGGGGGCTGACGCTGAGTCATTTGGAGCCACGTGGCTGGCCCCAAGGCCTCGGCCCCCAGTCCATGCGGTTAGAGCTTCCAGGCGGTCCTCATCATGACGATGAAATACACGTCGGTGTCGATGGACGCGCTCACCCCCGCGTAGTAGTTCATGAACTCCTCGGGGGTCACCTGCAGGGGAGAAGTGAGAAACAAACACGGAACTTCGCTTCTCACCATTTCGGGGGGCCCACCTCCAGCACCTGGAAACGAAAGGGAGATTTCCATCAAGGGAGCTTTTTCGTGGCCATCGCTGAGGAGCAGATCTAAAGGAAAACGTGAAGGCGGGCTTGGTGGTGGCAGCGGGCCCAGGAGAGGAGAGGAAGAAAGTCTTGAAAATTTCCAAACCGGTAACCTAAGTGGAAAGTGAGATACAGGTTCTCTGTTTCTGTAAGAGTCAAGCCCATCCGTGCAGAGGAGTGAGGCTGAAACTCAGAATAAGAATCGAGAGTTTTTAACCATAGTTAATACTCTCTTCTTGTGACACGTCAGAAATAACATCTCACGTCCCTGGTTCGGGATAAATAATGTTTTACCTTTCAAAAAAATGGAGTTCTGTCCTGTGGGTAAAGAAACAGATTTCTAGTTAACCATTTCAATATCAGCAAAAAAAAAAAAAAAACAGTGCCCCATGCTTCATGTCTCCCCACCACACCGCCACACTGCCCTGGGAGTTTTTCTCTCTGTCCTATGCCTATAACTGTCCCTTTGGAATATCAACTAAGGCTTCTATCTACACTTGGATTTCACCTTCTTTCCGTGTAGCAGCTGGAGGTGACGCCTGCACTCTGACCCTACCGGCCCACAGGATTGGCTGGTGCAGAGAAAAGAACCAGCTCCTGTTGGGTGTCTGCAGCCAGTCAGTCCAGCCCAGGGCGGAGCCCCGCAGGTGGGGGAGGGCACAGACACAGCTGGGGGCTGGGTTAGCTGTCTGTGGCTCTCCAGCTAGCCCTCGATTTCTCAAGTGTTGTGAGGGATTTAAAAGGTGACATAGTGAAATCCATAAAAAACTCAAAACCCTTGTGTACTCCATAACAGCCAACTCCTCTCCCACTGAGTACCCCCCTAGCTCTTCCAAGAATCATATGAGCAGACTGACCCACTTACCCTTTTTTCTGAAATTATTAGTAAACAGAGAAACAAATTAGAGGATCCACAGCGCTCTCTCTCTGTACCCACCTCCAGCCTCAACCCCCACCCCCCCACCAAGTAGTAAAAAGCGGTAGGAAGAACGGAATTGGGCTGAATTAATATTTAAACTGTGTTTATCTGTGGTCTGGAAGTCGAAATGAATGGGTACAGCTTTTATTAAAATTACAGGACTGTTAACGCCCTCCTTCCTTAAATTCTTTTTTATTTCTGTCCTTCACACTCCCCACTCACACCGCCTTAAACCCCACCTGTAAGTCAGACTACCTAAAGCCGGGACTCAGAGCTTACGGACCAAATCGTTTCCAGAAAGGCCACCACTTACTCTTGGAGAACTCGGAGTCTGCTTGTTTCCAGGGACTCAGCTTACACCGGGAATGGCCTGAACCACGAATTCTATGATTTGCCCCCCTTAGGTGGTCCTCACTGTAGTCCATTACTTTTTCATAGTAATAGCCATTATTAATTACTTGTTTTGTTTGGCATTAGGAAAAATGAGAGAATGGACACCCCTTCTTTTGGCAGGCCTCTTGCCTACGCTACACTTAAGTGACAGAGCGGGTGTTACTTACAGGAGAAGGTCCCTGGTGAGAACAACAGAAATTATCTGGGTCGTGATACGAAAGATAGTCCCCCTTTTTCTCTGCTCCCGCCTGACTAGAAAAATCATACCAGAAGTTCGGGGCATCTACATACACTCTGTAATATACTTACACTATTTTTAATGAGTGAAAAAAAATTGCTATATGAGATAGACTCTTATTCCCTCAAAGGCTAATATAGTCCTCAGAGATCAGTTTTAAATGTTTATAATTATAGCATACACACATGTAAACTTCAAAACCTAGATATTTAAAGAAGAAGAAGACGACGAAGACAAAGGAGGAGGAGGAGGCGGAGGAGAGAGCTCCCCCAACCTGGGGAGCACGGTCTGCCCCACCCCAGACTCGGTTCCTGTCGGTCCTCCCGCTGCCCCGAGGCTTCTGCGCATTGGCTGCTCTGAGAGCGGGGTGCGGGGCTTGAGCGCAGGACCTGAGACAGCCAATCCCTGGGCTGCCGCAAACCCCAGTAACTTTATGCCAGGTGACAGCTAAGCCTAACTTATGGAGAGTTGACAAATTTGAGCATTAGTCTTGGCTAAGGAATATGCTAACTTTTTTGTCTTATTCTAAATGCTGTCTTATTGGGGTACCGACTGCATTTTATAAGCGTAAATGAGCGCACTGGCTTTAAATGTAGCTAGAACTTCACCATAAGAAGTCTTGATACATAAAACAAACCAATTTGAAAGATATAAATTAAGGGCTAATTATTCTCTCTCTCTCTCTCTCTCTCTCTCTCTCTCTCTCTCTCTCCCCCCAAGAATTTACACAGAGTTTTTTTTTACATTGACGGGTCCTTGTGTGTTTAAAATATGATTTGACATAGAAAAGTTGAAGTCACACATCACTTTCCAGAAACATTTCCATTATGTCTATTAAATGAGGCATCTCTGCAAAGCCCTTAACACGGTGCCCAGTGGATAGTCAGTGCTCCGTAAGTGGAGCCCAGATCCATAATTACACTAAATGAGGTTAATGTGTATGTTATACTTAGTAACTAAACACAGGCATTTCTGACTCTTTCAGAGGCCAAAATCTCAAATGTTAACATGAGTAAAAGTCATCTCAGGTGCTTATTAAAACTACATCCTTGAGCGCCTCACACCCCCAAATCAGATTCTGTGGCTTTGCCGTGCAGACAGAAATTTGCATTATTGACACAAACCCCAGATGATGATCACGCAAAGTCAGAGTCGGGGATCAATACAGAGTCTGTGACACTCAGGTGACAGTAAGATCTGTAAGTGCTAAAAACCCCACTGACGTTTATGAGCTTAACGTGGCATTTTAAGATAAATGTCAAAAGGGACGGGGGTGGGAACTTTAAATCAGCTGAATCACAACAACTGGCTCTATTGACTTGGGTTACAGCAAAGGGCAGCTGAGGTTCCCCCCCCCCACCCCCGGCAACGGGGAGGAACCACCTGCAGAGGGGAGGCGACGGCACCCAGGGGTCCCGTGCAGAGCTGGGCTAATTTGGGGAAACGGCAGTTGACTATTTTTCCACTGCCGTGTCACAGATCAAAGACTAGCGACGCTGGGAGGTTCTGCTGCTTCTGTCCCTAAGCAGTTGGCTGCTCTGCAGAATCCAGGACCCTCCCCCCACCCACTTGTTAAAAATCTATCTCTGCTATCCCTTCTGTCTAAAGTGGAGGGTGATTGTGGGTCCCGGGCAGGAAAATGTCAGCAGGGGGAAAAGAAAGCTCCCCTTCCTAACCCCCTCGCCTCTCGTTGACAGGACCCGCCGTGAAGTTTTGTGGAAAAAGTTGGGGGAAATTCCCTTCAGAAGGGGAAGGCTTGTTTCCCCCACCTATCACCGCCATCTCTTCCTCCCGCCCATTGTCCCACTAACGTGTCCTGTGTGGCACAGGGTCAGGGGGAGCCTCCCCAGGCTTCTGCTGCTGCTGCTGCCTATCAAGGCAGGAGGGAATTCCCTTCGCCCTCCCCATAGCCTTCGAGCACCTAAGTCCATTTACAGCTGTGGACGAGACACAGGACATTGTGGTCTCAGCCTAAACATAGTTATGGAGCTGCCTAACCCTACCGAGCTATGCATTTGTCAGTTCAAGATAACAGTTAATGGAGAAGGGGTAGTTGCTTGTCTTTGTGTGTGTGTGTGTGTGTGTGTGTGTGTGTCTTTAAAAATTTTTATTGAATTTATTGGGGCAACATTGGTTAATAAAAATATATAGGTCTCACCTGGCTGATGTAGCTCAGTGGATTGAGCGTGGGCCTGTGAACCAAAGGGTTACTGGTTCAATTCCCAGTCAGGGCACAAGCCTGGGTTGTGGGCCAGGTCCCCAGTAATGGGACGTGAGAGACAACCACACACTGATGTTTCATTCCCTCTCTTTCTCCCTCCCTTCCCCTCTCTCTAAAAATAAAAAAATAAAATCTTTAAAAATATATATATAGGTCTCAGTGTACTATTCTATAATACATCATTTGTATATTGTATAGTGTGTTCACCACCCAAGGTCAAGTCTCCTTCTATCACCATCTATCCCCTCCCCTTCATCCTCTTCTCCCTCCCCCGACCCCTCCTTCCCTCCGGCAATCGCCGTACTGCGGTCTGTGTCTGTGAACTATTTTTTCATCCATTCCCCCTCTCCCTTCTGACAGCTGTCAGTCTGTTCTCTATCTATGACTCTATTTTTTTCTGTTGTTCATTTACTTGGTTCATTAGATTCCACATAGAAGTGAAATCGTATGGGCTTTGTCTTTCACTGACTGGCTTACTTCACCCAGCTTTAAGCTTACTGTACTTTAACAGGCAAGTTGATCTCAAAGCCTACTGAAGATTAAATCAGAGTAAATTGTGTTATCTGACATTCTTTTCACTGAAAGCTTCCCTTAAAAGGCATTTCCGCAGAGCATGGTGTGAAGACAGATGCAAATGCATGTATAAGGCGCAGTCCTGAAATGCCTTGTGAATCATGCTCCAAAAACCTAAGTTATGGTCTCATCGTGAAGTTCATTTTTTTTCACTATAGCCTGCTTCATGGGAAAGTGGTGAGCTGTGCATGGTAAATATGGCAACCGTGGAGTGGAATGTTTGATCAAAGCACCACCTTTTCCAGGCGTGGATGACACTGAGCTGTCTGCAGATCCCCTACTGACACACCTGTGTGCGTGACACACACACACACACTTCTCACTGCTTTGTTTCTCAACTCTCCAGGCAGTCACTAAGGAAGTCTCTGCTTCTCTTCCACAGATAACAACTGTAATATAAGTATTTGTTAAGGCTTTGAACCTATTTCCTACCTATTTACGGTTATAAATTGGATCCAAGAAATTTCACTTAGATGAAGCTCTTGTACTCACCAGTCCGTCTTTGTCGTAGGGTGAGTCAAAGTTATCCAGAAACTTCCTGAATACTTGCTCCTCGGTCCATTCTCCATTCTGGTACTTGGGGTGGTGTTTGGCGTTGTACACCCCACGGAGGTCTTCAATCGTTATGACACCGTCTCCGGTCTTGTCTAACTTTCTAAAAGCTTGCATAATTACCTCTTTTCTGGCTCTGGACATTGGAGGCTACATAAATAGGAGAGAGAGAAAAAAAACCACAGCGACATGCACAAGCAAATGAGCCATTTCGTATGTTACGTGATAAAACATCTGATGCCCCTCAACGATGTGCAGCGGTCTGTGGGCCATGAGTGGCATGCACTGTGATCGCTCCCCGCCAGGTCCCTACATCTGTTCTCCTTCTCCTGCCCATCGTGTGTGTGGGGGTGCTAACAGCTTCTGAAAACAAAACCTCAAGATAGCCAACCCGAAGCACGTGAAAGCCAGACTTGGCCAACACACTGACTCACGGGGCCACCTACCCTTAAGGTGAGAAGAAACTCATTGAAGTCAATGGTCCCGTTTCCATCCTTATCAAACCTCCGGAAAAGCTCTTCCGCCTCCTCCTTCTCCATGACCACGGCATAATCGTTTAGGCCTTTCACGAACTCTTTGAAATCGAGACTTCGGTTGTTATTGTCGTCCATGATTCGGAACACTCTGAATAAAGCGCGTGCACACACACGCACACGCACACACACAGAGGAGAAACCCACAAAGAACAAGGTTAAGCATAAAGACTTAAGAACAAAGCCACTCTCAGGGGGGGTTTCAAAGTAAAATACAAGTCTTAGATTGTTCTCTGAACCCTCCTCCTGAAATTGGAGAGCCTCTTCCCAGCGTCTCATACAAGGATACAAACCTTTGAAAAGAATGTACCGTGTAATTCCAATTAAAAGGCATTTTAGCCAAACTATAAAAACAGTAAAAAGATGGGTGGAGGGGGAGGCAAGAAGCATGGGAGAGTTCTAGGGCAATGAAACTATTCTGTATGATACTATCGGGGTGGATACAGGGCATTAAGCTCTTACTAAAGCCCATAAAAATGTACAGTCCAAAGAGTAATCATTAATGTCTACAATTTTTTAAAAATCACTTAGAAGGCCTGGAGAGCCCAGGGAGGCCGGCAGGCAGGCTGTGACAAGGGAATCTGACTGTCCTACTGTCTGACTGTCTGAAACAATCTCACTGAAAGGAAGGGGTGGGGTGAAGGCACGGCCTTAAGCGACTTCAGAAATGAGTCGAGTCAGTGAGACCACAGGTGAAAAAGGCCGCAGGTGAGCACTGCGCACTAGGTGATGAAGGTGTTTCCCAGGGCCGTGAGCCAACGGTTCTGACGTCACGCTCCAAGTATACTGGAACTGGACAGTTACGTAAATGGACGGCAGCTTGTGGGAGCCCGGTTTCTCGCCGCTGGAATGGAAGGGAATTATCAGACTCCCTGAGGAGGAGGCTAGAATGATCTGATTCGGGCGGTAATAGATGAGCGTTGCAGATGTCGGTATGAACTCAAGTTTAGCTTCATATCAACGCAGGTGATTACAGATGAACACATGTGTAGATGTGTATGCATCTCCAGGTGTACAGCACCTAGAAGTAACACCCAGAAACCACCAGCACATCCAGAGCCTAGATCCCGGTTTCTAATACGACCCTCCGACAGAAGGAACTGGGCTTCTTAGAGGGATTGCTGACTCCGAGACTGGGGCAGAAAATATGTGAGGGAAGCTCTGAGTATTTGGTACCTCAAAGTGAGAAAACACTCAAAACAAACACACAAACACACACACACACAACCTCGCACTGTTGGGGACACAGGAACGGGGCTCAGGAGCCGAGTGAGCGAACTCCCAAGGCCGAAACTGGAACAGCGTGAGCCACAAAACAAAGCAGTGTTGCATTATAACCCAAAGTATAAAGTAATTTTCCATGAGTCCACGCTGATTTAAATAAATGATTAAATAAATAAATGTGGCAGAAGAGATAGATTTCTCTTTTTACTTCTATTTTTTAATTATGTTTTATTGATTATGCTATTGTAGTTGTCCTGATTTCCCCCTACTTTGCTCCCCTCCACCCAGCACCCCCGTCTCCCTCAGGCCATCCCCACACCATTGTTCTTGTCCACAGGTCACGCGTACAAGTTCTGTGGCTTCTCCATTTCCTATACCGCACCTTGCACCCCCATGGATACTCTCTAACGACCTATTTGTACTTCTTAACCCCCTCACCTCTTCACCCATTCCCCCACCCCCTTCCCTTTTGGCAACTGTCAAAACGCTCTCTGTATCCATGATTCTGTCTCTGTTCTTCTTGTTTGCTTAGTTTGATTTTTGGAGTCAATTGTTGATAGAGATACATTTTTTGCCATTTTATAGTTCATACTTTTGATCTTCTTCTTTTTCTTAAATAAGTCTTTTGACCATATCATATAATAATGCTTTGGGGATGATGAACTTTAGTTTTTTTCTTGTCCGGGAAGCTCTTTACCTGCCCTTTGTTTCTAAATGATAACTTTGCTGGGTAGAGCAATCTTGGATCTAGGTCCCTGCTTTTCATGACTTTGAATATTTCTTGCCAGTCCCTTCTAGCCTGCGAACTTTCTTTTGAGAAATCAGCTGACATTCTAATGGGAACTCCCCTGTAGGTAAATGACTACTTTTCTATTGCTGCTTTGAAGATTCTCTCTTTATCTTTAACCTTTGACATTTTAATTATGATGTGTCTTGGAGTGAGCCTCTTTACATCTATCTTGTTTGGGGCTCACTGTGCTTCTTGGACTTGCATATCTATTTCCTTCACCAAATTAGGGTAGGTTTCTTTCACTATTTTTTAAATAGATTTCCAATTTCTTGCTCTTCGTCTTCTCCTTCTGGCACCCCTATGATGCAAATGTTGGACCTCTTGAAGTTTTCCCAGAGGCTGCTTACACTATCCTCATTTTTTTTGGATTCTTTTTTCTTCTTGTTCTTATTGGTTATTTTTTGCTCCCTTATGTTCCAAATCATTGATCTGATTTTCGGCTTCATCCACTCTACTGTGTTTCTCTGCAAATTGTTCTCTATTTCAATTATTGTACCCTTCATTTCTGACTGGATCTTTTCTATGCTGCTGAGGTCCTCACTAAGTTCCTTGAGCATCCTTGTAACCAGTGTTCTGAACTCAGCATCTGATCGTTTATCTCCATTTCATTTAGCTCTTTTTCTGGAGTATTGACATGTTTTTCCATTTGGTCCATGTTTTCATGTTTTTTTGTCTCCTCATTTTGGCAGCCTCCCTATGTTTGTTTCTATGTATTAGGTAGAGCTGCTTTGACTTTGTGTCTTGGTAGTGTGGCCTAATATAGTAGGTGTCCTACAGGGTCCAGTGGCACAGCCTCCCCTATCACCCAAGCTGTATACTCAAGGTACATCCTTTGTGTGGGCTGAGTACACTTTCCTCTCGTAGTTGAGCCTCTATTGCTGTTGGCAGATCAATGGGAGAGATTTACCCTGGCCAGCCAGCTGCAGGGATTGGCTGTGATCACTGACCAACAACCTCTGCCCTCCATGGAGAATCAGCTGTGTAGGGGCAGGGTGGTGGTGCTCCAATGTGGTCTATAGCTAACCACTATGTGCACTGGCCCTGCGGTTTCCTGAGCTGTTCAGGCCAAGGTCAGCCCCCATCTGTGTTTTGGTGGGAGGCCACCCTGCCTGAGCTGTAAAGGAGTCTGAGATGGCTGCTACTTGTGCTGGACTTGGAGATTCCTAGGCGAAGCCAAGCTATGAATCTAGGCTGGTTGCTGCTGGTGCTGGTCCTGGGCCTTGCCAGCTGTTTCTTGTTTGATGGGATTCAGGAAGGTGTGAAGCATGAGCAAGACAAGCCTTTCATATGGAAAAGCAGTGTGGATGGGGCCATAAGCTGGGTGGGGCAGAGTCTCTGGGGATCTCCAAAGCAGATCAAACAGTGTTAGCTGGGTTGATTAAGGAAGGTTTCTCTCACTATTTTTTCAAATAGGTTCCCAATTTCTCACTCTTTCTCTTCTCCTTCTGGCACCCTTCTGGCATTCCTTCTGGAATGTTGGATCTCTTGAAGTTTTTCCAGAGGCTGCTTACACTATCCTCATTTTTTTGGATTCTTTTTTCTTCTCATTGCTCTTATTGGTTATTTTTTGCTCCATTATGTTCCAAATCGATGTCTCAGGTATGGCACCAGCTTGATGGCTCTGTAGGGGGAAGATTTAGAAAAGGGACAATGGCCTCTGCTCTCCTTGATGCCAGACACTTTAGTTCCTCCCTTTATGTCACTGGTGCCTTCCAGGCTGCTCCCCCGGTGCTGGGGATCAGAGGATGTGAGTCTGAGTAGGTGAGCCCGTGTGTGGGTTCTTTAAGAGAAACTGCTTGGGGCTCCAGAAGTTTCTTCCGCCAACTCAATCTCTGCTGGTTTTTTCAGCCAGAAGTTATTGGGACTTCTCTTCCTGGCACTGGAACACTGGGCTGGGGGGCCTGGTGTAGGGCTGGGACCCCTCACTCATGAGATATCCCTCCCAAACTTTTATCTACCACACGTAGGTGTGGGACCAGCCCGTTCTGCATCTGTACCCCTCCTACCAGTCTGGATGGATGTGGTTGCTTTAATTCCATAGTTGTCAGACTTTTGTTCAACTCAGTTCTGATGGTTCTGAGAGATGGCTGTTATATTTTAGTGGTAATTTTGATGTAGTTGTGCAAACAGGCGAGCCATGTCTTCCTGTGCTGCCATCTTGACCGGAAGTGAGACAGATTTATAGAAGAATTCCAAATGTATTATGACCATGCTCTGCCCTCAAGGAGGGAAAGCATGCTCTCCACATTTTAGTGGCTTTGTACAGAGACTTCTTTCCAAAAAGAGGGGGTGAGTAACTTCACATTGAAAGCCAGACAAACACTATCTCAGGCAAGTGATCAAGGTCAACATCGATAGTGAGAAATCGTGTTGACAGTATGCATCCTTGGTATGATGCTATGGAAATGGTACTTTCCTTCTGTGGCCCCCAAAAACCATAACTCCAGCCTAGTCATGAAGACAGAGGGAAGGAACCTCTACTTGAGTTGAGAAAAGATCTGGGGAAGGGCAAGACCAGTAAGGGGAGGAGGCAGAGGACACACTCCAGCAAAAGGCCGAGGATGAGACAGTGTCTGTTCACAATAGGCTAGTTCACTGTGAAGGGGCCGCTGGGGCTGTTGGGACAGGCGACAGGAGGCACTGGACGGAAGGGCCCGGGGGTGGAAGGGAGGGTGGCATTCCTGAGGGGCGTTCCCAGGCGTGGTGATGTGGGCGCAGGGTGAGAGAGGGGAAGGTCAGAGTGACAGGACATCAAAGGGGGGTGGGCTGGTCTTTCTGCTGGACCGTGGCAGCCTGGCCACCAGGGCCGTATGCCCACAGCCCAGGCTCTGACGGAGCTGGCGCGTTAGTCTGAGAACGCAGGACTGTTGACGACGACATCCCGGCCACTCGTTCGTACCTTGTTGGAAGCGAAGCCCCCACAGCCTCCAGACATGAGGCTGGGTTTCCCTGCCATCGCACCCTGCACACTCTTACGTGTTTTTGTTTTTTTATTTTTTTATATTTAGAGAGAGGGGAAGGGAGGGAGAAACAGAGGGAGAGAAACATCATTGTGTGGTCACCTCTTATGCACCCCGTACTGGGGACCTGGTCTGAAACTCAGGTGTGTGCCTTTACTGGGAACCAAACTGGCCACCCTTTGGTTCCCAGGCTGGCACTCCATCCACTGAGCCACACCAGCCAGGGCACACCCTGTACGCTTCTGACATACACTTTCTCACACTGCAGAGATTGCTGTTTTGGTGACCCTTGGCCTCCTCGTCTAAGCTCTGCATGAGCCCTGGAGGAGCCTGCTCATGCATACAACCCCAGTGCTGTGCACAGTGCCTGGCCCAGGGACTTCTGCTGGCCGGAGTCCGCCACAAGTTTGGCTTCTGTGTTTTAAATATCCAGAAAAAAGGAGAGAGGGTGGGGGAGGCCCATGAGCAATATGCCAATGCCTGGCACAGAGTGCCAGGGCAGGCACTCGGTCAGCAGGGCCTACAGTGCCTTTGCCCCTGGCCTTCTCAGTCCTGAGGACTGCCCACCCTACCAGGGGGCCGGAGCCCAGCAACGACAGAGCTGCAGGGCCCCACGGATGTGAGCTGTTAGTTGTCCTTCAGGCAGTCCCCGTGCCCCTGGACGACAGAGAGACAGGAGTGCCTGAGAGCGCAGCAGCCGACTCTGAGACTGTGTCTAAATCACTGTCCCCGCCGCCTCCTCCCCCAAGCACTCTCCGGCTTTCTTTGTCCTGCTAGGTGTCGCCAAGCACCGGTCAAGCTTCTTCCTCCACCTCAAGTTCCCCAGCAGCTGCACGTTCTGGTAGCAGACACAGCCCCTGCTGACTCTGGGACTAAGAACCAAAAATGGTCGCAAGGGGCCTCAAAAAGCAATTCTTCCAAACTTTGTCTTGACCGTCGAGGAACTGGGAGCCCAAGAGCCCGCACTGGCATCGGCCTCACGGGGCTGTGTCCTGCCTGGTCCTCCATGTCCCCACCACCCCAGGGCCCTCGTCCTACCTGCCAAGTCCTTTGATGCCCGCAGAGCCCCTGGCCAGGCACTGCAGCCGGAGTCTTTCGATGGGGTCCGTGGCCGTGGTGAGCTTCTTTTTGGCCTGCATGGCCATCTCCCGGTCATGGCGTGCTGTCCCCGCCATCTGAGAGGAAATCCACACCCCGTTAGGAGAGCGAAGGCCTCGTCACCGGCCCCCCGCTGGCCAGGGCGGCAGCAGCCTCCTGGAGGAGAAGGGGATTCATGGCACACTCTCTCATTCGCTCCCTGAGGACAATCTGAGACTCCCAGAGTTCCCCGGGGTGGAAGTCGGCCCACTGTGTGCTGTCGTCGTTCCTGCTCACCTCCCTGGTCCCGGGGACGCCGGAGTTCTCCCGCCCGGGCAGCAGCTCCAGAACTCCGGCAGGTCCTCAGCTCGCCCCCCTCGCAAAGCAAAGCAGCGCCCTGACTCTAACCCCTTTTGAGCCAACCTTCTGGGCTTTATTCTTTTATTTAGAATTTCCTTTTTTCCTTTGACTGCATGCGTAATAGTCTCCTTTGTGGACCAACCACTGATTTCTGTGGCTTCTGTCCTCACTGAGACCCTCAGCACTCGGGCCTTAGTGACCCCTACCAGTAACCTGTTCGTTTCCCTTGGTGGACAGGCTAACGCCCACTGAACACTGAACTACACTCTCAGCACAGGGAAAGGGGTAAATACACACACACTGTCTCTCTCCTGACAAATAGATTTAGCTTCTTCCCTACAGCTCTGTAGTAGACCGGTCTGTTTCAGTCTGGCAAATGTGACTCAGCTCTGCATGGAAAACCTGCAGGAGCGAGGTGGTGGGCAGGAGCCAGACCTTCAAACCGAGTTTTCCCGTGGGAACCAGGCCCAGAAAATGCATACAGACTGTTACTGCTTGCTCTTGCTAAAACTCCATCACCCTGGTCTAAAACAACAAATGTGTATTGTCTGTCTTCAAGGTAGTTCCCAAAGCCTGTGTGAATTCACCCAAGGACAGAGCTCATCAGCTTGCCACCATTCCCCTCTGCATGTTATTTTCATTCCCTTGATTGCACCTAAAATGTAGACAACAATATTCTATGTAATAAACAATAAATCTTTCTCTGATGTAAGACCCAAGAAAAACAGTAAAGGCCTGTCTAGGCAAGAGTCGGGGCGCTCTCTCCTCTTGAGAGAGTGGCCGAGGCATTCACAGCCACCCTCCCCTTTAGAGAGTAGTCATGCTGTCCCCCTTTTCTCCACAGGATTGCTGTCGCCTGTGCATTTATTTTCTCTTTCAGCCACAACAGGCGGACTCTGCTGGCCGGAATCCACCACAAGTTTGGCTTCTGTGTTCTAAATATCGAGAAAAAGGAGAGAGGGTGGGGGAGGCCCATGAACAATATGCCAGTTCCTGCAGGGGTGCTTGGGTTCTGAGAACTGGCACAACAGTGGAAACACGGGGCTGGGAGCCTGGGGACCCGGGTTCTAGTCCTGACTCATCAGAACGCTCCTGGTGACGAATCTCAGGCCCTCCGATTCCTCCTCCTCCTCCTCTGTTAAATAGAGGGGTGTGATTAGGTGATCTTTAAGTCCCGTTCCTGCCCACCAAATCTTCATATGAGCCTGCTCCCCCAATAAACGGAGTGTTCCATATATTACTCTTTCGTGTGAGCTGTGAATGAAAAGAGCAAGAGAGTTTGATGGACATACAAGAAAATAGTATTTAAGGTGCAGAAAAAATGGTGTGAGCATGGATCCAACCTTGACTCGAGGGCGCCCCCTGAAGGCCACATTAGGATAAGATTCCGACTTGCACCCTCTAAGTTTGCTCTCCTCCCATACAACCTGTAAGAGCGCCCTGCAAAGTTCTCCTTATTTAACCTTAGAGAGGAATCTCAGACAGAAAACACACCAACACAGATAATTCAGGGATGCACATGCTTAACTGCTTCATTTCCTACAGCACCTCCCAAAAACCAGGAGCTAGGCTCCCTGGCTCCTGCTCCTTTTTTCAGATTCCCATCCCCTATCAGGGTTATCCAAGCTTTTGGCATCTCTGGGCCACACTGGAAAAAAGAAGAGTTGTCTTGGGCCACACGTTAAATACATTGCAACACATAATCCATTCGTAATGCATCGTGCCCACTCACGGGAGGGCAGCCGAGTTGGGAGACACCCCCTCCAGCCCCCTCCGGCCCCCTCCTGCAGCCAGCCCTGCCCAGTGACGGTGCAAGCAGTTACCTCTGGACACTATTTTGCCATGTTCAGAAACAGTGCTACCTCCGTTCTCTCCTGCCAGCCCACCATAACACCTAAAACGCCCTTCCTAAAGCCAAATGTGCTGGGGTAACACTGGTTACGAACATTACACAGACTTCAGGCGTACACCACTGTAACCAGCCACCTGGGCGCTGTGTTGCACGCTCCCCACCCGAAGTCTAGTTTCCTTCCATGGCCGTGTATTTGACCCCTTTACCCATTCTGCCCCACCCCACCCCCCCTTTCCCCTCGGGTGGCCACCATTCTGTTGTCTCTGTGAGTTTGTTTTTGTTTACTTAGTTTGCCATTTTTTTTTACATTCCACGTATAAATGAAATCATGGTTTTGTCTTTTCTGATCTCTAGTGACCCAGTTCATTAGCAAATAGCTATGTATTTTGTCATGTATAATGGGCACTTTTTGGTCCAAATTTTTGAGAGAAAAATAAGGATGCACATTATACATGGATAGTACTAATTCTATACCTATAGAAATGCTTTTAATTCTTTTATTTATGCTTATGCATTACAAGTGTAATTCTAGACAGCAATAATGATATCCATATGCAAAATAATACCCTGAATACAATAATCACTTTTGTTTCCAAATATAAATAAACAAAACATTGAATTAAAAAATTAAAATGAAAGATTTTTTTTTCCTGAAAGTTTGGGCCAAAAACATGAGTGCACATTATACATGGGAGCACAGTATACTCGGCAAAATACGGTGACATTTATTGCATGCTATTTTCAGGCACCAGGGCTGGAATGGGGAGGTTGCTCTAAGAAGCATGCCCTTGAATAGCTTAGAATCTTAAACTTGAGTACAGAAGTCCTGGCTGGTTAAGCAGCACCACAAACATAAAATTTACTTTTGAAGAAGTGGGGATGGCTCAGCTAGAGTCTTGGTCAGGAAGGGAGGTACTCAGAGCTTCTACAGTTTGCCCCAAGGCACCAGGCACTAGGGCAGGAGTCTGTCCCCACGCGTGCACCACCAAGATCACAGCACTGCACAGGCAGTGCCTGATTCCAGAAGACCCCGCCTGAGCAGTCTGCTAAACTGGTGCAAGGCCGGGAATAGGCTGCCCTCCCAATGCACGTGGCCGCAGCGCCACCTTGTGTTGGCGTCCAGTCTACGCAGTTCCCCCGGCCAGGGGCGCTATGGTTCCCTCAAATAAATGTCTACAAAAGATGAGTGAGTGCCTGTGCCCGGTGCTAGGGAAGGTGAGGGGCAGCGAAACAGCGCGAACAACCTGTAGGGGGGGGAGGTGCGACCCCAATACTGCAACCAATCGAAATAGGGAGGCTACCCCAGCCTTGAAGTGGGGCTTTGGGGGCACCTCTCAGAGGAGGTGGCGATGGCTAAGCTGTAATGCTCCAGGAAGGTGGTGGTCACTCAGACTTGGGTCGTGGGGTGGAAGAAGGTGAGTTAAGGTGTCGTTTCCGAGCGCTAAGGGCAAAGTGGAAGAGAAAACAGTATAATGGGGAAATGCAGGTACTTGCAGTACGACTGGAAAATCCGGGCTGTGTGTGCCGGCTAGAGATGGGGCGGGGACGTGGAAAGGGGACACTGGCACACCCCGCAGAGCCTGGGACGCGGTGGTGCAGGGCTCTGCACTGAGGGCAACAGGAGCCCGCAGGCCGTTCAGCTGCGGGGCGACAGTCTGCTTTGTAGAAGACTGTGCAGCTGCCCTTCATGGGGTTGCCTTTGGTGCCCCCTAGTAACGATGAACTGAATCACACATTCTAAACTCCCCCTCCCACCCCCGCCAATGCTGGGTTGAGTCTGCAGCCCACAACCTGCAACAGGGAGGAGGATCTTAGAGTCAAGGAGCACGCCCCCCCCACCCAACTCCCACCAGGCATCCGTAAAGAGAAAACCCCGAGTGCTTCCACATCCTCTTGGAAGCAAAATCCAAAGGTAACCTTGCCCTCCACCCTCTGGAGGACCCTCCCCACTGTGGGTTCTGTGACACTATCACGAAAAAGAGGGTCGCCTGGAGGAGGCGAAGCCCGGGCGGTGAGCTCCGGTGACCTCCAGAGGGAGCTGGCGTGTGTGAGAGGGGGGAGGGGCAGAACTAGGAGTCAGGAAGGCACTGGGAGTATGTGTGTATGCGGATGCCCCGGGGGAAGACAGGCAGCCTTGTCCGGCCCCACCTGCGTCCCCCACCCCCGGCTGAGGAGGGAGAGCAGCTGGGCAGGGATGCACCTGAACAGTCCTTTGCACCAGACCGTGAGGAAACCGTCCTTTCGAGCGGATGGCGAGTCCCGGCCTGTGAGAACTGCCCGCAGAGCAGCCCGGCCCTTCCAAAGGCCTCTCCCGCCCAGGGGAGCAAGCCATTCTGCCCACACCCAGCCAGGCCATGTCATGGCTTTGACCTTAACATTGTTAGGCACGTCTGTAACTAAAATACCTGTGCCATCACATCAGCCATTTCAAACTGCCTGGACCTTCTGTAATAGTTGCGTGTGGCTTTAGAACACAGTCTGTGTTTTAGAGGGAAGAAACGAGAAAGCCAGTGCAGCACGCAGTTTACTCATGACACTTGTGGGCCTTCACTCTTGTTCCCAGGGGGTGGGACCCGTACTTGCCTTCTGTCAAGTTCACATCCAAGTCAAAACTATTCCCATCTCTGCTAGCTCGGTCTTGACCCTGAGCATAGCGACCAGTCCCCGTGGAAATGACAGACACGAGGCGTTTTTACTCCTTCTCCACTTGGGAACTGGGTGTGAGGCTGGATTTTGATTCGGCGCAGTGGACCTTTCAGTACTTGAAAGGCGACACCACGACCGACTGCGGTTGAAGGCGCAGGTTGCCCTCCCTCTGGCTCAGTTCACTCACCAAACGAGTTACTACTGCACAACGGGTAACAACAACCTGGGCTCTTCCAGAAG